CTTACACCCCTTCTCCTCCTCCTCCTCCTCAATTCTACACACCTCACCAATATTATTCTATTACATCACAAAATTTTCCATCTTCCTATTCTTACCCTCTTCCAAATACGCAATACTCCCAATCTCATTCTTCTAATCATTATCCTTATCCACAATATCCTCGGACAAAACAAGGCTCCATGATGGAATTTCTCATTCGAACTAAAAGTCCTGAGAAATTGGTTGATTGCTTTCCTAAAAATAGCATTTGTTCCTTCTGTGGAGGTGGTCACCATTCATGTCTTTGCCCCATTCCTCCAAATGACCATCCTTACTGGGCAACTGCATACCCCACTTCTTCCTCCCCACATTTTACAAACACAAATGTTTTAGCCATTTCTACATCCTTGCCAAGTAATGAGCCACATAATCAGTGTAAGAATACACTTTCAGAAACTATGTCTGAGTACCTAGAGATTACGAGGGAGAGGACTTTAGCCATGGAGCAGAGCACTTCAAACATCATGAAGCATATAAATACCATAAGGAGCCATCGGGTAGAAGACAAATCCGAAGAGACCAATAGGGATGATCATGTGAGCGAATCAGACTGCGATGGTGGGAATATGATGGATGATACCCTCCCAGATGCTTTTGAAGATCCACCTATGGTTGAACTTGATCAAAATTATAGTAGTCTCGAGTTGTTTTTTCAAGAATACAGGCAAAAGTTTTGAACGATACAACCTGTAACTGACAAAGTCACAGATCACTGTGATTTCCATATAGAAACTCCCCAGCCATTTGATTTACCATTACTCTCAACCCCTGACGAGGAGGGAATGGAGCAGATGAGTCATGACATTGAAGATGAGTTGGGAAAAGATAATCAAGAGCTCCAAGAGAGTGGTAGCAAGGTAGATGATCTCCATGACGAAGAAGTCCCGCTCCACATACAAGATTACTCCTCTTACGTTAGTCCAGATTTGGATTTCATTGATCCATTCCTTGGTGATGATATTTCTTTTTGTGTGGAGAATGATCACAACTTCCTGGAGGATATTAAAGAGAAGAGTGAGAAAACGAATTGGGATGCATTCATGGAGAGTGATATTGAGTAGAGAGGAGGTGCTCAGAATTTTCATGTTAAATTCGAGCGAGGAAAGGAGGCATTTGTGATAATTTTTAACATGAGGATGTGAGGTTCATACTTCACTTTTGCTCTGATGAGGGTTATGAAGACCATATGCTACCTTCGTGGTTTCAAGAATTCAAGAATTTGCGACACCTGATGGTATTTGTTGAGAGAAAGCTAGATACTTTGATTATTAGTGCACCACTGCAGTCTTTGCTATTTGAGAGCATAAAAGGTATCGTCGGGCAAACGACGTTAAAAATAGCGCTTCTTGGGAGGCAACCCAAGTTTAATTCTGCACTTTTGTCTTTGTTTGTTTGCTTTCAAAAAAACACCCGAAAAAAAGAAACAAATCTGGGGTGTTTTCTGTTTTTGTTTTTGTGTTTGTGTTTTGTTTTTGCAGCTCAGGGTCTTGTTTTGTGGATGATGTGCCGAGGATCACTTGACTCAGTTTAGTTCTGCACCGACCAGTGCCTTAGGGAAGTTTCTGCAACTCTTATAATCGCCTATTTGTAATGTTGACTTGAGTTGAGATTGAGCACGCGTGACCCTTTCCCTATACCCCCTTGTGCATCGTGCATTTTTGGCCATCAAAGGCGATGCCAAAGTTTAAGTGTGGGGGAGTGAATTGGGCATTCGGGCAGTAGCTGTCACATGAGATTTTTAGAGTTAGCATGCGCAGGTGTTAGTTGTATATTCATAGAAAAGTCATGTCAATTTTTTTTGAAAATTTTTCTTTAAACTGTGTCTTTGTGAGCTGGCTAGCATTTTGACTATGCTTTTAGGACATCCTTGAAGTGTTTAGGCTTAAATTGCTTTCATGGTAATCTAGTTGTTCAAAGGATGAAGGCATTAGTCACCCGTTGAATCGTTCCACAAATCATCCACCTGACCTGAAAAAAGTCCTTTAGGAGAAGCCACTTTGAGCCTAACCGTTTATTCTTTACCCAATTAATTGATCTCTATAGCCAAATGGCCTGTTTCCTTACCCGTGAATGAGTGTGACGAAGTCTTGATGTTTAGGGAACTAGGAGATTAATTTGTTAAGTTAAGGGAATTTTGGTAGGAGCCAATTTTTGGCACTGTTCCTATGCCCCAAATGGGGTAAGAGCAATCACTTTTTAGGAATTTGATATTTTCGAGGATTGCATTGTAGGCATGGATTCACCTTGATTAATTGAACTTTAATTGCTAATTTTCCTTGGTGAGGTCGAGAATAGAATGAGGTAATGTCTAGTAAAAATCTGAAAATCGAAAAAATTAATATAGCTAGACCTCTTACATTGCGAAAAAGAGAATGGGAGACCCGGTCAAAAAGCGTAAGTGTTCTGCACAATAAGATGAGACTTGGGGATATTTCGAAAGAAATGGTGTTCTCGTGCCAACATGACAAGGAAACTTGATCTTAATAAATTGAACTTGGAGGCTATTGGAAAATTAGCATTATTCCTTCGCGTACATCAAGTATACGTCAAAGCACCAATGTGCTGCGGCGGTTTAGCTTAGTTGTACACCATGTCTACTCTTTGCATAGGTTTAAATGATAGTTCCGAATTTGTGTCCTATTGAACTCCCTGATCCTAAGAATAACCCTGAAATTCCTAAACGCATTAAGTTTTTGTCAGATTATTCCAAAACTCTCGAAGAAATGGATTTTTATTCTTGCCCATCCATTATTCACGACCGTCTTCACAAGTCCTTCTGATCAATAGCTAGTTCATTAGTGTTTGCTGCCACTACTTCAAAGGAGTTGTGAATAATTTTGTCATTGAAGTTAGCCAGAGTACAAAGATGTAGTTTAGGGAAGAATTTTCTTGTTTCAGTCTGTCTGTTCTGTGAGTATCCCTGTAACTACCTGTGCATGCTAATTGTTTTAATTTCGTGTGGTGATTATCGTCAGTCCCGTTGTTTAGTTTGCTTGAGGACAAGCAAAGGCTTAAGTGTGGGGGAATCTGATAAGTCTGTATTACAACACGCATTTGATGCGTGTTGGAATCGGTTTTTGATGTTTTCCCTAACTTTTAGGTGTCACAAATCTCAATTTTAGCTCAAGTTATGTGTATCAGGCGTCGGTTCGAGTTTTGTGTTATTTGGAGTCAAAATCATGAATTTAGAGTCCGGCACCGGCGCTTGAGGAGCAATCGGGATGATTCGAGAAGCATTCGAGAGTGAATTGAGATATTTGGAGGTCACCGGGAGGTTCACAATGAAGATTTGATGACAAAAGAGCTCTAGGATTGGCTACGGGATCAAAAGAAGACAAATAGAGCTTGAAAACGAAGTTCAGGATGACTTTCTGTCAATCGTTCAAACATATCTCTTCGTAGAAGCATCCAAAGGACACGATTCATGAATGCCGTTTAATTTGTGTTTGAATAATTTAACTGATATCTCTTGTAACCTAGAACGCGCGCTAGAATTACAATTGCTTGTAGACTAAGTTAAGAGAGATCTAATTTATTCTAGGACACATTCACACACACTTAATCGCCCGCTAAGAGATTAGTAGCGATTAAGGGTCTGTAAGCTCGCTCGTCTTGGCAATAATTTAGGATCCTGTCGCATGAGAGATCAGACTGGTCCCCTAAATTATTGTACTCTACGCCGCGAGAACGGTAAGAACTTAGTAATGACTAGCTAGGCTCAATTAAATTAATTTCATGTAATTAGACCTGATCTGCCAGAAATCTGGTTACCCCGGAATCAATCCCTATTCCCTTCGTCGTTTATTAGAAAGAACCCTTTAGCTTTAGTATTCGTTTACTTGCAAGTTAATTTTCCCAATCAATCAAATCTCGCACGACGCATTTATTTTATTTTATTTCTTTTTAATCGCTGAATTTATTTAATTCTTAATTCCCTTTAGTCCGTCTCTGTGGAGATGATACTCGTACTTACACCCTTTACTACAATCTATTTTTAAGTGCGAGAAAACTCACATCATCGACCGAGCGTTTGATCATATTTATTCATTCGACTACAATCTGGTTGACAGTGGTCGATAACATTTGTCCATTCGACCAAAATCTGGTCGACTAATGGTCGATGACATTTATTGGTTCGACCACAATAAGTATGAAATTGTTCTTACTTTTATTGATTCTTCAGCTTCTTGAACCTGTTCATCACTGATCCTTTTTTTGTCTTTAAACCCCATAGACTTAACCTCGGCAGAGGAATCGCATTTTGAGGGATTCTAGCAGCAAACTTTTCAGCAAATTCAGCGGCGCATTCAAAAAGCAATATCTATTAAAACAAAATTTTAAAAAGTTAAGAAATGCTAGACAAATTGTTATTACAGTATACAAAATTATAATTGAATTATATAAAGAGAGGTCCTTACCGAAATTGGGATTAAAAATCTCGGGTAATTCATTGTTGCTGACTTGCCTTTATGACGTATTTCATTTAGCTTTTTCACCAAGTCTATTTTCATCAATGCATCTAATGATCCCATGTACGCCCACATACCCCATGGGAACTCGTTTTCTTTTCGTGCCCCTATTATCCCAACTATCCAATCAGGAATGGGAGCTTTTCTCTTAGAAGGAGCTAGAAGGACCAAAATTACAAACATGAGTATTGCTACTCTGATCACTTCTACTTCTGCATCCTTTTTCAGTTCTTCCTCAGCTTCAGGGTTCGTCAAAGTGCTGCATAGTTGTAGAAATCTAGCTACAACTATTTCATAGCTAACAACTCCTTCAAAATCTTGACCAAAATGCTTCTCAATGAAACCGGTCTTGGAATCATGATCAAAATCATCTGCATAATTTTTCCCAAGGGGGCTGCAGGTAAGCCCGCTAATTAGAGCAAATTCTGTGATAGAGTAGCGTACTGGAACTCCCTTTACGACAAACCATGCGTCGGAGTCCCTATCAGTTTTCGCTAATCTCGACAGGAGTGGTCACAAAAGTGATGGAACAGGGATGAAAGAAACATCAATGTGTCTCCCAAATACACTGCCTCTAAATCTACTCATGAGAGTGGGAAATCCCCCTAGGCTATCAAACATTAATCCTTGAAATTCATCCAAATTTTGCCTCACTGTGAGCTTCATATTTGGGAACAGCGAGCAGTCCACCACAGGAGGCAAGTAAGGGACCTGCATATAAAAAAATTAACATCTGTTCGACTAACAAATGGTCGAACCAATGGTTCACAACTCAGTTTCGCTTGAGATTAGTCGAACAATATATGTTTAGTTCGACCAAATGTTTTTATAGAAATTCACTCCGGATTAACCACCAATGGTTATTGTATAAAAGGTAGGTATATTTTGTTAGAAACACTAATGAGAAGCATGTCATGTGTGTTCAAAATAATGAAACATGATTTATGTCGACTGAGTTGAGTTCGGTTTCGAATGAACATTGTGACCTTTCATTTGAGAAGTTACCACTATAGCTTTCTAAAGAATCAAGTATCGCTCTCAAGCATAAATAATCTAACATTTACCTGAATATCGGGTTCATCTGCGGCTTCCATCACTTCCGATGCTTTCACAAGTCTCCGTCTTGCTTGGGTTTTCACCAGAGGAATCGTAGGAGTTTTGCACTTCATGGTTCTTGAAGGAGATGGAAGAATGGTCGAAGTCGAAGTAGAAATCGAAGAATACTTGTGCGAAATCGAAGAATGCTTGTGTCCTAAACACGGTGCTCCGTTGAAATCGATTTCGACTGGTAGTGGATGGAGTGAGTGCAGGAAGTTGGGGTTTTGGAAGTTGGATTGTGCAAGGTGTGGGACCAGAAGCCGTTTTTCAAAATCGCTAGACAGTCGTTTTTAAGTTCTGACTATCGTTTTATTAAGACAGTTTCAAAATACTCGATCTTTTTTGGCCCTTTTTGATAAAAATTCTGTTTTTAAATAAAAAACAGCTTAAGGATGTTTTTACTTGGACTGTAATTTGCTGGTCTGGTCTGGTCTGATCTGGTCTGGTCTGGTTTCTTTGTATTTTTATAACTATCCAAGTCTGGTCTGGTCTGGTCTGGTTTGGGAGGAATTACAGTCCAAGTAAAAACATTTAACTAATGTAGTTGTACTAACTACATTAATTAAAAATGAATTAATGTCCAGTTCAGCAGTTCTTTAACAAATAATCTAACAGTTTGTAAACATTTATTTAATCAAACGTAAATTTTCAAATCGTAGATTCTAACAGCTAATTAAAATAACCAACACAATCTATCAATTTGTGTTAGAAACTGCCCCAGATTTGAATCTCTCACTCTCACCCGTCAGTAGGTTAGAGATCGTAAACACGATGATGAGTTCGATGAAATTCCAGCTATATCCAGCCTCGCTTAGTTTGGCTTCCGGCCGAGCGCTCGCCGGATGCTGCCAACTGCTATCACCACGACTACATAAGCAACGGCGGTTCGCGTCTCTCTCGGTTCAATCTGAAAATGCTTCCTGGTCGGAGCAATTCGACCAGTCTCCCCTCACATCCACCGCTGTATCTTCTCCTGCCATTCAGCCCCTCCAGTTGGTCCTCACCCCTCGCCACATTCAACTCCTCTCTTTCTTCACCTGCACAGTACCCTCCTCTCTCTGTCTCCCAAAAGCGAACGCTAAATTTCCAATTGTGCTTAAATTTTCATACTTTCATTTTATACTTTAATATGGAGCTTGTATGTTGTCATTTTCATTTTGTAATTTAGTAAACGATGCTATTCTAGACTAATTTATCTTTAGGGAATTTCCGAATTAAAATCTAAAATGTAGCAGCATGCATAAAGAGAGTTATATACTGGTTATCCCGAAATTCTGTATTGTCTATCCTGAATTAAAAAAATTATGTAAAGTTCAGGCTCAATTTTTTTATATTCTCCATTTACATTGTAGTTGAAGTGTTGAACATAGGTCTTCTGGTTCTTGGGGCATTGCGAATAAGCTATAGAAATGAGTGAAGAACACTTCCTCTGGGGTAAATATATATTCTGATAAAAGTCTATTTGGGCTTTGTTTATCCTCCATTATGTCATTTATGTATCCATTGAGCTAATATTCCGAATCCATTGAACTAAAATATTGTTTCATCCTCAATTTGATGTATCTTTCAACTTCTGATCAGTAATTGAACAATGGTGTGGCTGAAATCATGTCCATGTATTCTTTTGTTCCTAACTAGGACTCTCAAACAACCTTAACACTCTTTATCCACCTGGTTAATGCTACGTATAAGTTATACAAAGCATTTATCTTCCCTTTCCTGTACCCTTACTATATTTCCCCCTTTGATCCAGAAGAATGGTTTAACCATTGCACTTGAATTTGCACTTTCTCAGCTGCTTAAACTTTCTAGGAGACAATGCTGGCTGATATTCATCAACTCGTCATTGGAATATTTATTTTATCAGTTCTTTTTTTTATTTAACTGATTGGGTGTTGTAAATATGCAACTCTTTTTTACTTCCAAAGATGAATGCAGGTAGTTAACTCATCACTCAATTTTCTTATTGTGATTATGCCTTTTACTTCCTTGCAGGCAGCAATTTCTGCAACCTGGCTCTTTTGCTCTGCAATTCCAACTCTTCTGGTTCATCGACGATCAATTTCCTTTCTGTTATTTTTTGTCATACTCGTCTTATTTTATCTGATGTGTGGAACTGTGGATACACGTTGCATTAACTGTGATTTGGGAATGTTTTTAGGTTTAGTAAATTTACCTCAGTTGCAGCTTTGCAGGGTCAAGTCTTACCTCTTATTACAATCATAGTAGGACTATTGTGAGATGGGCAATTGAACACGTATTTAATACTCTTATATTGCAATTTGCAAGTAATACTCATTTCATTCTGAAACAGAAGTAGTACAGTTGTTTATGTTCCGAAGTATTACTTTTTTACCAAAAAGAATGTCTGAAACAGGTTGTGTTATAGTTAATAGTTATCACATCAAGCCTCTGAGTAAATGATCGGGTTCTTTTACATCTTCCTCGAGCAATATACAAGGTTCTGGGAGAAGTGTTTTGTTGAGTACTTGAATTCGACATCGCGTTATGAGTAGTGTTACTTTCTCTTGTCTTGCCTTTGTGTATCTGCTTTTAGCCCTAGTGAAGCCATGAGACACATAATTTCTCACATGATTGTATTTGAAAGTGATTTATATTGGCCATGTTAAATCAAATGGGGATGAAAAGTGACTTTAATGTAATCAATTAATGTGTGAAATGCCCCCACACCCTCTCCTCCTCCCAGAAGCTTATTCTTTATTGTTAATATTTTGCTGTAGGCTCTAAATAAGGCAGCTACATCACTAGAGAAGCTAATGGATGCCATGAGAGAGGAGCTTCCAGAAACAATGGCTGCAGTGCGGTTATCTGGAATGGAGATCAGTGACCTGACAATGGAGCTCAGTGACCTCGGGTTAACTTCAATACTCAGACAGTGTTCTTAACTTCCCAACCATGTTCTTAAATGGACTGTTTTCTTCTACAGTCAGGAATTAACACAAGGTGTAAGAGGGTCAACTCGAGCTGTGCGTTTGGCAGGGGAGAGGCTGCAGCAGTTGACTAATATTGCACCCTCAGGTTATAAATTAATCAAGTGGTCATATGTCATTTGAGAGTACTGAGCTTTTTTCCTTAAAAATGGTTAGGTGGTGATTTTTGCTTTATCTTCACTATATTAGCTACCACGCAGGGGGTGACCAGAATGCAACCAAAGACAGCAGGACCAGCATTGGCTAGAAGCTTGACGGGCAACATAAGGGAGGAGATTGTTAAAGGCCGTGCATTTTTTGAAATGCTTTTTACACTCTCCTGGTACTTTGGGTTGGCCTTCAAGTTTTTCAAGCGTCGGGCTAAGATGGGAAATGATGGAACCAATATTTAATCTATTCTTAATACATGCATATTGTATTTGTTAGGGAGAACTATCAAATAAGCCCTCAAACTTTCAAAAAATGTGCAAATAAGCCCTTTTACAGGAGACTCTGTCCGGCTGTCGCCATTTGGGGCGGTTTCCGGTGGAATTTTTTGATGAAAGTTTTTGAGCAACTTATTAGTTAAGTCTAGTTTACTCATACCAAATTTCAGCTAAAACCTCAACCGGGAAGGCAGTCAAATGAATTTTCGAAGATAACTGCGCAGTTAGAGAGTGCAGTATATTTTAGAAAATCATTTGGCTACCTTCTCGATTTAATTTTTAGCCGAAATTTGGTATGGGTAAACTAGACTTAATGAAAAAGATGCAAAAAAAAAAATCAAAAAAAATCCACCGGAAACTGCCCCAAATGGCGACATCCGGACAAAGCCTCATGTAAAAGGGCTTATTTGCACTTTTTATGAAAGTTCGAGGGCCTATTTGATAGTTCTCCCTATTTGTTATCAAATGAGGCTGCTGTACTTCTGGTTCTAACTTGGTCATTGGGACTTGATTTGGGGTTGCTAAGATTTGTGAATTGCATATAGTTTGAAAGTTTGATAGAGACCGAGAAGAGCATGGGGCGGGACCGGGCTTGGGCCCACTTCCGTGGGCCGGGTTAGGGTTGTTGTTATAGTTTAATTATTATTATTATTATTAAGTTAATGTTATGTTTTAGTTTGGGCCTATTATTAGTAGAGTAGTTAGTTGAGTTAATTTGGGCTTAATTAGGGTTCAATTAATTTGGGCTTGAATAGAGTTTCTCTTAAGAGGCTATTTATACCCCTTGACAGGGTTCATTCTTGCTCACTTGGAATAAAATTGGTTTTAGCCTTTTGGCTCTGGGCAACGGTATTTTTATTGTTGATTATCTAGGCAACGGTTTACCCCGTTGATTTTTTATTTTTTCTGTTACACAACAAAGTTAAACAAAGAGGTCTTCAAGGCTTCGATTTCTGTCAAGTCCCTTTCCAACTATTTCTGTGTGTCAAGGGTGGACACGGTCTGGTCTGGTTCCGGACTGTCTGGTCCCAGGGGAGGTGGACCGAGACAGGCATCGGTAATTCCGGTTCCGCATTGGTTCAAGTCAACTGGCTGGTCCCGATATGTATTATTTTCTTTATGTATATTACAAATGTAAACATGCATGCATTATATTGAAATTAATCTATTAATTATGGAGAGGATTCTAGTCAGAATCCATCTTAAAATGTGAACTCCTTAAACTTTTAATCACAACCTTTCATTTTATTTAATATTTGTTAGGACGCACATAAGTTTCTTTGTGTAATTATATATTCAAAATTTAAATGAGATCTTTTTTGTAATTTTTGCAAAATTATTACAAAAATGTCATCTTATTAATCAATTCATAACCCTTGATTTGAAATATGAAAGATGTAAATTAAAAGTTCTAGTTGATAAGTGAGTATTCATTTTAAAAGAGTTTTCATTAGAATTGTCCCCTTGAACCACTACTTCACTCTAAGAAAAAGATAGCGCTCAATTGGATCTCCTTTTCCGTGATTATTGAGTTCTCTTTGTTGGTTGCTGGTCAAATCAACTCTCCTTTTTCTGGTGGCTAGTGAAGTTGGATCTTTTAGGATGTTTTCTTTTGGATTGTTTTCATCTTCAGATTAGATCAAACCAGATTTAAACTGACAAAGACGAAACTAGACTATACCTAAACATATCAGATTAGACCAACAAATCACAGTACATAAGAAAACATCCTTGGTTGTAGTTTTTTGTTTTCGCTTTGGAGTAGCAAAAAGAGCAGCAAGACTTTCCGTTCTATGCCTCATCGCATTGTAGCTTTAGGCTATTCATTCATTCGCTTGTATCTTTGTTATCATTTAATGGAAAACTTAGTTATTTGATTTTTCAATAAAGTTAGGCTATTATTTGAGTAGCTTTAGGTTTATTAGCTTTATCAATCAATTTCCTTGCCAAACACATATTTTTTATTTCGCATGTTGGATTGTAACATAACTAAAATAGGTAATGTTGAAGTTACTTTTCTGGTTGAAGTTACTATAGATAATCATTTTATATATTTTCCATATAATGTTTTCTTAATTTCTTAATAAAATATATTTTGAATATAATTTTTTCATAATTTAACATATTCAGCAATGTTAGCACATTCCACTGATTCAGTTCATTTCATTGTTATCAAAAGGTCTTTAAACAATAAGTACTTTTTAAAACTACTAATAAGTACTACTCTCTCCTAGGGATGGACTAAACCGGCCCGGCCCGGCCCGCTACTGTGTGGGCCCGGACCGGACCGGGACCGGTTGGCCAGTTCCGGGCTTTTAGCCCGTTTGGGCGGGTCGGGTGGGCTGAGCTCGGGCCCAGTTTTGGGTGAACCGGCCCGGGTCAATTTTTTTTTTTGTTTTTCAATTTTTTTTTCTTTTCCTAGGGTAGGGCTGGGTGTTTTGGGGAGGTTTGGGGGTGAGGGGGGGGGGGGGTCGGGGGATAACAAGAAAGCAAAAAAAAAATAGACATTGAATCGGGCCTGGCCCGGCCCGGTTAGGCTCGGACCCGGTATCAACCCGGGCTGGTTCCGGGCCCAAGGATTTGCAAAAAAAACCCGGCCGGGCCGGGCCCAGAACCGGAACCGGACCGGCCCGGGTCCATCCCTACTCTCTCCGTCCCCCTAATATTGGGGCGAAAGGAAGTGATGTGCTTTTTAAGAAAAGTAAATTTATGTGGTTGATAATGAATTGATAAAGTGAGAATAAAGTAAGAATCAATTAAAGCAACACAAGTATTATCAAATATGGTACGAAACAATAATAGGGGACACCAAAAATGAAAAATGAGACTATTATAGGGGGACAGAGAGAGTATGCAATAACCAAGTGTAATAATGTATTGAATAAAATAAAGTGATTTGTTAAATTATGTTTTAATCGGTTAATAAAATGATTAGCACTTTTATGAAAAAGCTTCCAACGTGTTTTTTATTATTGTAGCAAGTCATGGCAGGTGTTCTATCCATGGGGAAATGTAATGTTAATGATCGGATGGGATGGACTAAAATGTGGGACTTTCAAATGTCCCCAAAAATAAAATGTTTTTTCTAGCAAGTCATGGTAGGTGTTCTATCCACGGCAGGGTGGATATTTCCGAGTCTATTCTGTGACAGTGAAGAGGAAATAGAGAATCATTTGTTTCGGAAATACCACATGCATTAGGAATGTCATATTGAAGTAGTGGTTCAAGGGGAACAAGAGATCAGGCCTTTCGCGTGATGACATTGAAATTACAAATGACATGGAAAATAATGATGTGGATAGAAACGATGATCAGGATGTACTCGTGGATTTCCGACGGACATGTGTCATTTTTTGGCCGAAATATTGAATGGTACCGTAGGTTGCATCATTTAAACGTAGTTGAGGTAGTGATTTGCTTCATTAAAGACTTAAAGTACTAAAATGCATCATTGTCAATAGTTAAGATACCGCCTATGCATTTTACTTTACGTAGTACGGAGTATATACTACGTATTACGTAGTATATAAAATAACTTAATCATCGTTCCAAAATAATAATAATAATAATAATAATAATAATAATAATAATAGGATACTAATAATGCAACCGTTTCAACAGTTATTTTTATTTTCTGTTCTCATCCAATAGACACAATTAAAACACATGTAGGGCACAATAGGATACTAATAATGCAATCCACACGGGTATAAGGCCTACCATCTTTGAGCCGATTGAGTCACCGTGACTTACATCCTCCAAAAAATGATGGGGGTGTGGGGGCTCCTGGGGTGGGAGATTCCTCATTTTGGAACAAGAAGGATACAAAAAAAAATGCAAGGTTCTAAAGGTGACAAGAACCTAATAATGCAGGAAAAAGTCTGGCGGCAAACAAGGGTCTAGAATCCTTGGGTCTTAGGTGGAGATTGAAGGCTACTGTGTAGTTAAAGCTTAGGAACATAAATACTCCACATACGTAGCTTTTGCGATGTAGTTTAATGTTTAAGAAAAAACATGCGTAGCTTCCAAATGTAGGATTTGCCGGGGAGGAGAACACACAAAGTTTTTCTTCACATGTATTCACATAAAGCAAACTAATTTAACCTTAAATAGCCTAACTCACACATGCACATAGCTTGCTTGTAACAAGCCATTAAGGCACTAACAAATTGATCCACCAATACCACTAAGTAACTAACTGCCCATGTACATATGTAGTTACACCCATGACAAATTGACAATGAAACCCACTCACCCACTACGTACATGCATGCAAATAACTTAAATAACACCAATGTAAATTAGACTAACACTAATGCAACGACACATACGCACATCAGTGCCGCTACAACACATACACGGTGCCATGCGACACACACTACTTGGCATGACTCATCCCGCCGTGAACTCACACTGTAGTCTAATATGCATTTATGACTCAAAATAAACTAAAATAAACATGATGAAATTCTAAACAAGGTTAATTCCAACTGATGGATAGTGTACCCGGGGGTAGCTTATCCGAGGGGTTATTGCGGAGAATAATTAGAGAGAAGTCAGAGCAAAAGTAAGAGAGAGATTGTATTGCTGAGAAAGTAGTGAGCGTATTTTGCTTCTGGGTTAAAAATGGGGAAACGGGGTTGCTATTTATAGTAGCAATAAATGCCAGATAGGGACACGTGTCAAGCATCCATTGGCTGAGGGGTCACCTCAACTGGTTGGCGCTGGCAATCGTTTGTGGCCGCATTTAATGCGGCTGTTGGATGTGACATCGTACTTGGTACGGTGATCCAGGCGCATGTGGAGCGGATATTATGTCGGGAAAGGCGCCTTCGGCTGCAGGTGATTGGCCGAGGGCTTTGAGTACCGGGGATTTCCTTAGTGCTGAGGGCTCTAGGTGCCGAAGGCTACTGATTTTCGCCATTTTCTCCCAGTAACTTTGTTTTCTTGATTTGGCCATCCTGTGAGAATTGGAGCCTTCGGCCAGGGGACCGAAGGCACCCCTAGTGTGCCACGTGGGTTGCTTAGTACTTGGGGCGCCGTGATTTGGGCCTGCTGTGCTTCCTGGGCCTATTGGGCCTCCATTAGAATAGTAGGAGTCTATGGGCCGGGGGTTCCTGGGCCATATACTCCATCAGGAGTCCCTCACTCCTTTTGCCAAAAGGTACTTGAGGGAAAAGGAGTAATCTGTGCTTGTCCTTTTGGTGTTGTTCCGTTGTAGTTTGTGGAGTTTGTGAGTAGTTTGTTGTGTGCATGTTTCAGCCGAGGGCAGTCCCTCAGTTACCCACATTCCAGGACTTGAGGGATCATGCTCGTTTGTTGCGGGAGTTTTTGACATTTCATTTTTTGTATTTTGAGAGATTTTCCCGAAGGGGTCCTCCAGTCCCCCACTCCTTGAGGCACTTGCAAAGTGGTGAAAAGGAGTAGAGTAGTGCCTGCCTGCAATTTGAAGCCGAGGGGTGACGCTTTTCATTTCATTTTGGGGGGATGCCTCGTTAAAAACCTCATTGGAAAAAACCCTGTGGGAAAAAATTCCAATGAGGGAAAAAGAGTGCACCGAATTCCCCCAATGATGAGTCGAAAAGGTAAAACCCTGGCCTGAAATGAGTGGCCATTTTTTGTGCCGAAGGCTATCTCTGTCTGAAGGCGCGGGTGCTGATTTCCCGAAGGGTCCCTGTTATTATCCTAAGAGATGCCGAGGGGGGAGCCCCCAAATTATGAGAATGAGGGGGTGATGAATGTGGGTGATATTTCCTGTGTTGTCGAGGGGTCCCTTGCTTGTTGGTGAGTGGGGGGCACCTTTTGATGAAGGCGTGCTCCCCCGGGGGC